GTCCACACTTTATGTATTTATACGGAAATTTGGTCAAAAATTAAGTACCTATTTTTTTTACATAATTCGAATGAGAATCATGTACCGAGTACTCTCCTCAAATATTGATAGTAATTCACCAGTCACCCTGTATAGTAGCCAATGACCGGCTACTGACTATTTTTATAAAATTGAAAACAAAAAACTATTAAATTCCAAAACAGGCTGTCTGTCTGTTTAATATACCAGCTTCATTTCGTCCGATAAGTGAGAGATACGGTTGCCTTTTTAAGGTTGTTCCCATCCCTCCTATTTCCTCAAAAACCCAGATTGCTAACACGTGGGCAACACATGGGCAACAGTGACTACTTACCATCAAGTAGCAATCTGCTCGTTTGCCAGCAGTCACATAAAAAAATTGGTTTCGTTTTAATTATTGGATGACTAGCTTTTGCCGCGACTTCGTCCGCATGGAATAGTGACTTCCGGCAGATTTTTGGTCCTTCCCACATAGTTCCCGTTCTTGAGGGGTTTTCGGAATGGTCGAGTTCCCGTAGAATTTTCAGGATAAAACCTATGTTTTTTTTATTCACAATGAAGTACTCTTAACCAACAACATATTTTATTTGTTTATTTGAATAAAGATTAATATTATTATGTTGATACCACTTAAACAAATTATTTCGACCAAATTAGGTACCATAAAAACGGTTTTTGTGAGTTAATCTTAAAAGATAGAAATATACTGTCGCGGACTGTTTTTTAGACTCTTAAAAGAGCTATTATTCTTTAATACATATTTTTGTGTATCTTGAACCGTTTTCACGGCGCACGCAACGGAAGGCTTCAAAGATGAAATAATTTCTCCCGTTTTTTACACATTTACCAATATATCTTTGCTCCTATTGGTCGTAGCGTGATGTTATATAGCCCACAGCCTTCCTCAATAACTGGACTATCCAACACAAAAAGAATTATTCAATTCGAACCAGTAAATTCGGAGATTAGCGCTTTCAAACAAACAAACAAACTCTTCATCTTTATAATATTAGTATAGATAAGAATGAAATGTTTTACCTTTTTGTAGTTCTTGATCAATAAATATTATTGTAGCTCTACCTCTCAATGAGGAGGAAGACATGTCGGTCTTCTTCGACCACCCGCCAATAACACCATTCATCGTTGGAGGTGTGGTTGCTCGCAAAGTCCCTCATATGGTAGCCCTGACCACTGGCATCTTCACCAGATCCTTCATGTGCGGAGGTTCTCTGGTGACCAGGAAACACGTCCTCACTGCAGCACATTGTATTGCACCTTTGTATAGTCGCGGATCTCTTTTAAGGTACGCTAAATATTACTACCAGTGTCTAACATACTTTGAAGTAAAAAATATTGACACTTTACGTTTTACTAAACGATTTTTAGTTCTGTAAATGTTTTTGAAACTTTTATGATAAAATGAACTAATGTATATGTTCATTCCAGTTCTTTGCGTGGTATAGTCGGCACCAATCGCTGGGATTTCGGAGGAGTCGAACAACGATTCGCCTCAAACATTAGCCATCCTAACTACGTAGACTCCACCCTCGTAAACGATATCGGTTTTTTGGTAACAAGCCAGGAAGTATCACTGAATGATAACATACAATTGGTTCCAATCTCCTACGATTTCATCGGAGGTGATGTACCTGCTGTTATCAATGGATGGGGCAGAATCCGGGTAGGATACACTATTATCACTTAAAGTAATCAAACAACACCAATACATATTGGATGCTAAATCTTCTTCTACCTTGCAATTTTCTAGCTTTAGCCAGGGACTGTCTTACATGTTGTGAATAGTTTTAATTGTTTTTACGACCGGCCGCCTGCCTGTCATCAAATCTCTTTGGGAATGCATTAATCAGTGATGTCTAAATACTCTTAGAACGTACATATGACTCGGAAAAATTACATTGGTACTTGCCAGGATGAAACCCGCACCCTCATGTATGAGAGGCGGACCTTTTAACCACCAGGCCACCACTTACTTATATTGAATGCTAAATATCTTTACAAATTTATTTTTAGACTGGTGGATCATTGTCGTCAAATCTGTTGGAGCTCAAGACAACAGTTATCGACGGTCAACAATGCATCTCTGACGTTGCTCGTAGAAGTGTGGAACTTGGTAGGAGAGTTCGACCAATTCAACCAGATATTGAAGTCTGTACATTCGTAGCAAACAACTTTGGAAACTGCCATGTAAGATTGTCCACGATTTACATAATCATTATTTTAGAACCTGAGTCCTTGTTAGTATGTCCTTGTTAGTTCTTATAGTATTCTGTAAGATTTTTTATACACATAAAACATTGATTAACACTTACGATCTCATCCTTGGATTTAATTATTTTTATTCACTCACTGTCAATTTAATTTTAAATATTTGTAAATGAAATAAAAGAGTTATATTAATGGCTATTATTGTATATTCAATTTAGCGTCATATTCGAAATACTGATAGATTGAACATCGGTCAAATCACAGTTGTTTAAATATGCAAAAGGAGAATAATAGAACGTATAAGTCGTGTAAGGTATCTCATTAATGTACAAGCCTAGACATTCATTAAAAGAACATTACAACCGTACGTTCATAAAGAAGGAAGAGTAAATAGTCAATGGCCAATACAATTGAAGTGTTGATCATTTTCTTTGTAATTCCAGGGAGACTCCGGCAGCGCCCTCCTTCGTCAAAGTGATGGTCGTCAAATCGGTGTTGTATCTTGGGGTCTTCCTTGTGCTCGCGGCGCACCAGATATGTACGCCAGAGTTAGCGCCTACCGCTCCTGGATCGAACAAAGCCTTCAATAATAAATACATATACGAAACTAAATAAATATTTATTTCATTATTTATAATAATATTATTGTTTCTTTATACCTATCTCTCTTCTGTAACTAAACTCTTTATTCATTGCTTGTCAATTATGCATTCATAACTTTTACCATTTATTTGAAAAATATCTGTTCACATTACCTATTATAATAATTTTTCCTTAACAATATAGAATTTCTGTTGTTATAACTTAATTGCTTTATCTAAAAATGAAAAAAATTCTTAAAAAAATACTTCTACATTATGGAACTAATGTTCATATAGTTTTCTGATTTAATAATTTTATATATACTAACAACTACATATATTTTAATGTTTTTATATAGTAAAAGGTATATTCGCACCAATAGCACACTTTGACGGTCCCTACATATATAAAGGCAAGTCGAAAATTTAGTTTCACGGTGTATTTATAACGAAAACAGTATTTTCATGGGTCTGGTTTAATTTCTAACAGTTAAAATCAAGTTGTTCAAGCAGATAGTAACAGAGAATTAAGTCTTATAGCAGTTAATATATTATTGCAAAGTGATTTCAATTATATAATTGATATTGTAGTGAGATATCAAATGACAAAATTGAAAATTGCTTTCCGGACATCCTAGGTGGTGAAAATAACACACCACAAAGCACTCCTGAAAATGATAATGATTAAGTATGTTTAAATCTATAAAATTAACTATGTTTAAATTGAATAATAAAGATCTTAAAATAGTTAAAATATTGTAAAAAGAAAATATTTACCAATGGTCATAGAATAATTTCTAGGGCTTCTTGAATTCAAATTACGCCCTCCTGTAAACCACGAGTTTTGACTTGTCCTTATAAACGTAGGGGCCGTCGACTTATGATTTTGCATCTCGTTTGAATAAGACTCAAGTTATTAAATATTCTAATAAGCCTAACATACATTACACATCCCATGTCCTTTGGAGTGGAAGGTATATAACTTCTGGAATGGGTCTACTATCGGTGGATTTGATTCCCAGCCTGATGAAGCATTTCTAACACCCAATATGCAGGTCAATGGTGAAATTGTCTCCACGTACAGGAGCTGGAGTCGCTTTGGCGGATCACTTATACCCTGATGAATGAAGGTTTGAAGGAATATTTATTAAGTAAAGTACTTTAACAAGACATTAGTTAACATGATTATATTTCTACTGTTGTAAAATATTGTATGTATTTTCATAGTTCCGCTGGTATCAATTAATCTTGGTAGACTTCCATTAATAATTTGAATAGTCTTACTACATTCAAAGCGTTTCTTGTTTTGGATTTATAAAAAAACTGTAATTATTATTAGAGCTGATTGATCAAATGCTAAGCCTACAACTTGATACAGTTAAAAACTTAACATCTAAGGCATCAAACAAATTAAAATCACAGTTTAAATACATTACATATAGTAACATTCATGGAATTTAAACTAAAATCAGTCTTTGGCTGTACACCAGTGCACGAAACAAACGAATATTAAAACATGTTATCTTTGGGTTACTGAATCAATAACTTGATTTATAAATTCACTTACTTAATAAGATTATTTTTTTTACGAAAATATTTTTGTTGTATCAAAAAATAATCCAAGTGCATTTTCAAACTGAGTTTAATCATAACGCTAGAAATCTTAATAAAAAGAGGAAATGTCTTAGCATTCAATAGATTCATGGAGACAGGAGCTTCAACAGAGCCTGGGTCTAGCGACCCAGGTGTAGGTTTAAGGAACTCCTATCCAACGCGTTAAACGCTCACCTACACTGTCCAAGCTCCTCTCTCTACCTAACCAAATTTGAAAAGAACTTAGTGAGGCTGGGTTATTGTAAGTTTGATAACATGTTCCTATGACTTAGGTACTCTTAAAAAAATTTGAGTAAAAAAATAAATTTGGCTACTTCTTCTATCCTTTTAATTTAAATTTACATCAAAGTATAAACGCGATTGCCTTAAGAATAGACAAAATTACCAAAACAAATAAAGGGTTTCCCAAATTTGATAATTTCATTATCCTTTTTGATAAATTGTAACTAACGTCTATGTAATGGTTATCACTTCTAATTAATCAATTTTATCTATTTCAAGCATACATATAAGGGGAAACTTGGAGGGAAAAAAACAGTTTGTTTAAGAAAAGTAGGAAAAATGGTGTTCAAAGCTGCGTTTGTGTTTCTAGGGCTCCTCATTGGAAGCATAGGTAAGTTATTAATTAGAATAAAATATATCAAATTACATGAAATCATTTAATTATATCACTTCATTTTTCGGTCGGTCATGTCATATTGGATAATTGATTTTGATTTCCATAGATTTTTTTTTTGTTTCAATGTCAAAAAAGAAATAATCCTTGTACCTTCACTTATAAAAACTTTGTAATATTAGGTCGTCTAATTTTTATACTAGGTCAGTTATTAAAACGACAGATGAACAAGTCATGACCTGATAGGAACAAGAACATTCTGCAAAGAATATAAAAATACAAGCAAAAAATCATTTGCATAAAAAGTACATCTCAATAGCATAGCAATGTAAGAGTTGAATAATTCTTGTGAATTATATTGATAAGAAGCTGAGTTTTTCAATTCCTACAGTTAACATCAGGATAGTTTTCTAAATACACTTTTCAGAAACTAGATTTATAAGAGAATTGTAAAGAATATCTTGAATAAATGCGTTAAGAAAGAGGGTTGAGAGACAGGTTGTGGAGATTTTATTTTAAACTGATCGACGTTATAAAAGGTAGAACGTTTAAAAGTATATCTGATAAGAGTAGAAGGAAATCATATTTCAATAATTTTATTACATAATACTAAGTACATTTTTAAAATCATTACAATATAAAGATCTTACAAATATGACGGTAAAACTAAGCATATTTAACTAATGAATAAGATTTCAGTTACAACACGATAATTTTTATGCCTTGAATTGAATATATAAAAATAAAAACAGATTCCAATAATGGTAAAAAAAGAAGATGATATTTAAATTTATATATGGGTGGTAGAATCTAGCTGTGATCAAGTTGCTGCAGCTCGAACATGGGCTGGCTTCGAACAGGGAAGTACCACCCTCTCACAGAAGATCATCGTGAAGTAGTTTTTAATGGCTGTGTTTCGTTCGATGAGTGAGAGATACGGTTACCCTATAAGCGTCTCCACCCTTTCCTGCCATTTCCTCATTCCCATCCCTCCTATATTCTCAAAAACCCAGATTGATAACACACACGCAACATAGATGTTGCGGATGTCCATGGGCAACGATGACTACTTGCCATCTAGTAGCAATCTGCTCGTTTGCCAGCCGTCATATAAAAAAATATGTTTCGTTTTAATTATTAGACAATAAGGATGAAATGTTTAACCTTTTTGGAGTTCTTAAGCAATAAATGTTATTGTAGCTCTACCTCTAAATGAGGAGGAAGACATGTCTGTCTTCTTCGACCATCCTGACATAACACCATACATCGTTGGAGGGCAAACTGCTGGCAAAGTCCCTCATATGGTAGCCCTGACCACTGGCATCTTCACCAGATCCTTCATGTGCGGAGGTTCTCTGGTGACCAGGAAACACGTCCTCACTGCAGCACATTGTATTGCACCTTTGTATAGTCGCGGATCTCTTTTAAGGTACGCTAAATATTACTACCAGTGTCTAACATACTTTGAAGTAAAAAATATTGACACTTTACCTTTTACTAAACGATTTTTAGTTCTGTAAATGTTTTTGAAACTTTTATGATAAAATGAACTAATGTATTTGTTCATTCCAGTTCTCTGCGTGGTATCGTCGGCACTAATCGCTGGAATTTCGGAGGAGTCGAACATCAATTCGCCTACAACATTAGTCATCCTAATTACGTAGCCTCCACCCTCAAAAACGATATCGGTTTTTTGGTAACAAGCCAGGAAGTATCACTAAACGATAACATACAATTGGTTCCGATCTCCTACGATTTCATCGGAGGTGATGTACCTGCTATTATCAATGGATGGGGCAGAATCCGGGTAGGATACACTATTATTACTTAAAGTAATCAAACAACTCCAATAAATATTGAATGCTAAATATCTTTACAAATTTCTTTTAGACTGGGGGATCATTGTCGCAAAATCTGTTGGAGCTCAAGACAACAGTTATCGACGGTCAACAATGCATCTCTGACGTTGCTCGTAGAGGTGCAGAACTTGGTAGGAGAGTTCTACCAGTTGAACCACATATCGAAGTCTGTACTTTCGTAGCACAGAACTTTGGTAACTGCCATGTAAGTTTGTCCACGATTTACATAATCATTATTATAGGACCTGAGTCCTTGTTAGTGCTTATAGTATTCTGTAAGTTTCTTCTCATAAAAGATGGAAGAGTAAATAGTCAATGGCCAATACAATTGAAGTGTTAACCATCTTCTTTGTAATTCCAGGGAGACTCCGGCAGTGCCCTCCTTCGTCAAAGTGACGGCCAACAAATCGGTGTTGTGTCTTGGGGTCTTCCTTGTGCTCAAGGCGCACCAGATATGTACGCAAGAGTTAGCGCCTACCGTGACTGGATCGAACAAAGCATTCAATAATAAATACAAATACGAAACTAAATAAATATTTATATCTTGGTGTTTCTTGATAGCTACCTCTCTTCTGTAACAAATTTCTTTATTCATTGCTAGTTGCTTGTAAATTCTGCCTTCATTATTTCAGTTGGTGTTTAAACAAACACTTTAACTATTTATTTGAGAAATATCATTTCAAATTACCTGTTATAATTAAAGTTCTTTAACAATTTAGATATCAAAGATTTTCTGTTGAAATTGAAATAATACTAACAGTGCCATTTACATTTTGTGTATGGGAACTAATGTTCAGATATTTTTTCTGGTTTTAATATTTTCATGGTGAAGTGTATCGTTTATTTGTATAATTAAAATAGTCATATTGGACTTAGTTAAAGGCCACACATGTCAAAAAATTAGTTTTATGTGTAGTTACTACTAGTTATATGCTGTGTAACTACGAGTATATACAAAATGACTACCTTGTGTTTAAATTAAAAGAGTTCAACCTGAATGAATTTCGAAATAAATTTTAGCCTACGCCTTTATCTCATGTAGAAACTATTCTAATTTATTTCTTGTTTTGGAATACAATACAACGTGTTTAGAACGTCAAATGTATGAACTCAGTTAAGCTCTTAAATTTGTAGATACAAAGTATCTTAATTGTTAGAACCACTGAGAATTATATGTGGGATATATTTAAACACGGCACGAGTCAGTTATTAATGATTAATTTATTACATATGTACATAGTACATTATTTATAAAATAAAACATTATCATATACCTACATTTTTATTTGCATCAAGATCTAAAGGGTTAAAAAACAAAACCCTTTGTACTATGTACATATAAAGTTAGTAAAGTTGAAAATAACAAACAGAAATGTTTGCTAACTTATTTATTTAACTTAATATTTTTTGCTGATATTCATCATTATTACAATTCGTTAAGATGTGATCCAATAATAGGTATAAGAAAGTTTTTGAACGCGCTGACTCTAACGAAGACGTCAGGTGCTCCTAGCGCGCAGGGGAATCCCCAGGACACTATGCCGACTTGAACCTTTGACTGTGGCAGCACTAGAGCACTTCCGGAGTCACCCTGACAATAAAACGAATACATTTATAAGGCTCCATACTGAAATAACACTATGATATAGGCTGTTCATTTAAAATCTCACACATATATACTAACAACTACGTTTTGCGAGGTAGTTTTAATGTTTTTATATTGTAAAAGGTTGTTATATACGCAACAATAGCACTTTTGATTTTGCATCTCGTTTGAATGAGATTCAAGAAATTAAATATTGTAATAAGCCTAACATACATTACACATCCCGTGTCCTTTTGAGTGGAAGGTACATAACTCCTGGAATGGGTCCACTATCGGTGGATTTGATTCCCAGCCTGATGAAGCGTTTCTAACACCCAATATGCAGGTCAATGGTGAAATTGTCTTCACGTACAGAAGCTGGAGTCGCTTTGGCGGATCACTTATACCCTGATGAATGAAGGTTTCAAGGAATATTTATTAAGTAAAGTATGTACTTCTTTAACAAGACGTCAGTTAACATTATTATATATATTATCTACCGTTGTCGTTAATCCCCAGCCAGTGGCAAATGCAGTTCTACCTCCAGGTGTCCAATTCCAACTTAATGGTATCGGCTGTATTCTATCAGTGTAATGTATATCCTCAGTTGTAATCAACACGCCAATGTCGTTTTTGATTGTTAACCAACTAAAATCTGGATGGGTCACCTGTCCGGAGAATCTGACAACACGCTCGGTGGATTTCCAGCTGTTAGATCCTATTACTCCATAAAGATACCTATAAAATATATTGGAACAAGATTTTATACGAGGCTTTTTGATATTGAGAACATGTGAGGATTTCCCAAATTACTAAATCTGATCTAAATCGGTTCAGTAGTTTTCGCGTAACTTATCAACATACAAGAACAAACATGCCCTAATGTGTCTGTGTCTTACATCTCAGAATGGATTCGACTTTCAACAAGACAAACATAGTATAAAGACAGAAATTGATTCATTCACAATAGTTCCCTATATTAAATGTAAAAATATTTTTGCCTTTAAGGATATCATGTTTGAAATATTGTTACAAAACTTTCGACTATATAACGGTTTTTCAATATTCCTTACGGTGTCAGTTCTCCCCAAATGACATAAGGTTCGATACAATGGGCCGCGCTCAGGATATGTCTCCGAGTGACGATAGACCCTCCACAAATCAACATCTTTATATATGCTCCTACTACCAGCGCAACCATGTGTTTTGCGTAACCTTCAGGCGCTTCCACACCACCAACGATTAGTGGCACCAAATTAATATCATCATTACTTTCAGCTGGAAATTGTTGTGCTAAAATATTGGCTGTAAATGCGACATGAACAAACATACTCAGTAAAAAGTTCGGTAGTCACAATATAAAAAAATATTTTGGGGCAACAAAAATCTTAAAAAAAAAAATGGAATGAAAGCTTGACAAGACAGGAATAATCCTTAAGTATTGCTCCTTTATGTACCACTAAATACTAACTCACCATGCGCAATATTGAAGAGCACTAAGAAACTCGTTACTATTACAATCATCTTTACTTGTGCATGAGACACTGGCAATATATTATTATTGTAGGGAATTTATAGTATACTGATTTAAATCAATTCACACAGATAAGGGTTAAATAAACTTTAATTCTTTCCTTGTTGTCTGACATAACTATATATTTACAATAAATACATAATCTTATAAAAATCTTGCTTTGTATATTATACACTAGGTAATGACCTACTTATAAAGATAGCGTTTTCTTTATAGGTATCGACAGCTATTTTGCTGTCTTGATGACTAATTGACATGTGACAGTCAAGAACCTAAAGTTTGTTTACCTTAAGTACCTACCTACAATGCAGATTATAAGTTAATAGAATGTAGTGGTTCTATGAATCAATTAGAATAAGATCCTCTAGGATAGACCTCACTTTTAAAGTCTTTCTTGCTTCAATACAGTATAATACGTGAGGTCCGGGGTTGAAGGAGAACTATGCTTTAAGCCAACTTACAACAAAACAAAAGGTCTCAGCAGGATAAATAAATATGTAAGGGCATACAACTGGTAATAACTACAACATGCAATGATAATCACTGCTGTTGAATCTTTAAAATCATTAGTTTATGCCCAGAATCCAACAGTTTTTTGTATATTATCTCCAGGTAATATACAAAAACTGTTGGAGATACCCGTATACATTCGTGGAGGTACATGTTTACACTATTTCCTTTCAATTGTAGATTGTAGTTTTATTTTTAAAGAAACTTAAACAATATAAACAACTATAGTGATTATCATACATATTTAAAGAGTAGGTATTTTTATCGATGTAATATGAAAGTTTAAGTGATCTAGTGACTTATTCAAATTTCAAATATAATACGAATATATTATATACATCGTCTAAAGGTATGTAGGGAGCTCCACATTCTTTTATATAATCTTTTGTCCTTATATCATACAATTGGTTTCATGATTTCATTTAGCTATAGGTACAATAACTACAAACAATCCATACATGTGAAAACAATTCATATAATATGATGATATTATTGTGAAAAAGGTTACATTTTCATTTAAGAATTAATATTCATTGAAGATCGTGTCTCCTCCATTCTACACAACTGATGAATGTAAATATATCTTTGCATGAATAACATACATATTTAAAACAACCAATGACCCATTTATTAAAACACAGAGGTCATGTGTTTCATATAAAGTAGTTTTTTTTTAAATATAAAATAAGAATGTTTATACATCAACTTCTCTAATTGTACAAAAAAATTGTGACACGTACTTGTACAGACAAAGGGGAAATATTATCCGTCTACATCTAAAATCTATAAACATATAATTAGCGTAGTACGTATCGAAACTCTAAATCATTAATCAAAAATAATTAAAAAAATATATTTCTTTCATACGATAAAAACAAGATAAGCTATGTATACAAATAATGGGCTTGTTTTCAGAAAACAGTCGAATATAATCCACTGCAGTCATCAATTGTATTGTTCTTATTGATAGATAAAATTTCATTTCCAACAAAAATGTATCTATAATAATAAAATTTGAGTTTACCTAAAACAGTTTTTTAATAAACAATACATCAAATACCTAATACATCAAATACGTAAGTTTTAAAACTTTTATCTGTCAGTCTGTCAGAGACATAGTTGCCGACCTAATCTCAAGATTGGCTTGACCGATTTCGATGAAAATTTCAATCGCAGATAGGTAAGGTCATTTGGAGTAATTCAGACAACTGTTTAATCCATTTAAAGAGAGGAATTTTTAGTTCTACTTTGTTCCACTGTTACTCCCACAACTAAAGGCCCACTTTCAAAATTATTTCTAATCGAAAAGGCATTGTCTTCACGTACCTTCATTTTCCTTTGAGGGGTCATTAGTTATTCGATTAAAACTAATGAAAATGCATTGCATGCATGCATTGAAAATGCGGGCAAAAGCCGCATGCATTATCTAGTATGTAAATAAAAGTCTTATTAATTTTTTACATTTAATATCAATAACATTTATGATTGATTAATTTCCAAAGAAAAAACGTGTCAATTGTTTCAAAATCAATATATTATAGCAAGAGGTTGTGAACTCCTGCCTTTCTTATTTTATAAATTCTGAAAGTTTGTCAGCACATACTTCCAACACAGGTAAGAGCGGCCACACACACACACAGATAAGGCCCATTTTAAAGTTTGGGTTGCAGTGACTTTGGCAGGTAAACGACACTAAAGGTGTGTAGAATGCATATCTATTTTCTTCAAATAAATAAGGACATTTTTTTTGTTTCACTTTCAAAATTGTAGTTACATAAGTCATTGCCAGACACTTAACATATTGCCCACCCCTTCATGTTCATTAAGTTCCTTATATTTTAACTATAATATAAAAGCTGTAGTATGGTATAAAATATATACCTACCATACACTTATATGTAATTGTGAATCTCTTTATAGTTTTGATATATTCGAAATATTTTATATGTATTAATAATAAATATTTAATAAGTATAACCTCAAGATAGCACAATGTATTATTTTTGTTTTTTTTTTCTCTGGCAACTTTAACAAGCGTTTTCTTATTTCACCACGAGATGGCGCTACCTAGCTTGATGATTTAAAGCGGTAATATTTTTTAAATACATATATTATTACGACTGTGTTTAATTAGTTTTTTAAATTACTTTTTGTACTATTATTACTATGTGTTATTTATATTATAAAATAAAATAATTTAAATAAAGAAAATTGGAGTACTATAAATGAAAGCACATTGTGAAATTAAAACACTATTCATTAAATTAAGCCACAGTAAAATGTCGTTGGAAATTTGAAGATTTGGTATCTATAAGATGAACATTAGGTTAGGCCTCAAGATACAAGGTCATATTCTTCTTTGGAACTCTAGAATAAAAACGTTTTACCTAACTTACCTATTGAAGAGAATTCTTCATTCAACCTACACAGATTAAGTGTTCTAGGTAATTCTACAGAGTTAAGCATTTTTAAAGGCCAAGGATTTCAATTAAATCAAACTTTTCTTAAAAAAAAACAATTAAGGAAATCACTTTTTAAATTTAATTAAAAGTTTTTAAACTCGTCTTTCGAAGTGTTCTTAGTTATTTTAGACGCCATCAAAGTATTGGACATCTGATTCTAATTGGATTTTAATTATACAATGAAGTTACGTTTTATAATAGCTACAGATGTTGTAAACGCAATCCTCTCACTTGTAAAGATTCCATAATAGTATTAACTTTATTTTATTACTGTAATTTAATTTAAAGAATCAATAGTCCCAGCACACGTTCTTTATAGATTAAAAGAAAAAAAGATTTGAATAAAAAGTATTTGTTGGTTATTTCTTACTAGCTTTCCGCCCACAGCTTCGCTCGCGTGGAGTTCGGTTATATCGCGTTTCCAAGAGAACTTTTCAAAAGTCTAGGATAATAACTATCCTATGTTCTTTTTCAAGGTCAACTCTATCTCTGTACCAAATTCCATTAAAATCAGTTCACTGGTTTAGGCGTGAAAACGTAAAAGACAGACAGACAGAGTTACTTTCGCATTTATAATACATATTAGTAGTGATGTACGTAGTCGGACACATTTGATTTTAAGGACTGGCTTTAATCATACTTTTTGGAACCATCTATAGAATTATATAAATTTGATATAAGTAATAACGATGTGGAAATTGAAAAGAAATTTGATAAGATTTTAAACCTTTTGGTGGATTACGTTTAATTTTTATTAAACTGTATGGTTTTTTATAATACTTACATTTCACATATATACATTAGGTTTAATTGTGGTAGAACCTAGCTGTGCTTAAGTTACTACAGCTCGAACATATGCTGGCTCGGACGGGGAAGTACCACCCTCTCACAGAAGATCGGCGTGAAGTACTTTAATGGCTGCGTTTCGTCGGATGAGTGAGAAAGCCGATTGCCCTTTCCCTTTCCCTCCTTTTCCCATTTTTTCCTCCCCCTCTTCCCTAAACAAGAGTGGTAACACATTCGCGAAAATATATTACCGATGTCCATAGGCAACGGTACTACATTCATCAGGTAAAACTACTGCTCGGTAGTCCCCTTTAGGATAAAAAAGTTACATTAAGTCCATATTTCTCTGAGAGTAATCTTAAGACAGCATTAATCCCTAACAGTTGCCCGATGTATCTACTTACTTTGTTGGCATTCAAAAAATAGTTAGATCTGATAGCAAGACATAGAAAAGGACAATTGCTATAATTTAAAATCAGGCGTTAGCAATTAACATCGGATTAAGGATTTACGAAAAATGTACATATATGCACACACTGAGGTGCTATAACTAAGAACCGGAAGATATTAATTAATGATTCAATTTATGATTATTAATTATAGGAAACTTAATAATTCATTACAATAAACACAAGGTACTTAAAGTATCCCTTAACTAATGTAGAAATTTTAAATATAATTCTGTTCATTCAAATAAATTAATAATAAATAAATGTTTAGTCACATAAAACAATAAAAATATGTTTTAAAAATTGATTGAAATCCGAAATAAAACTTCGTGAATGTTAGAAATTGAATTATATATTTTTTGCTTCCATCACTATTACTATTAAAATGATTTTTATAATAGATTAGATATAATAATATTATCATAAGAATTTACGATAAGTAATGTAAGTTATTAAACTCATGTGTTTAACATTAATTCTAAAATGTGTCACCTGATAAATAAACAAATAAAGTGGCTCGTCACCTTGAACCTCACAAACATCGTGATTTATCGTTTATTTCATCAAATCATAATAAAATTTAAAATTAATCAATGTCAATGTATTTCACACGGCTGTATGACCCTAGGTGTTTGGTTAGCGATAATTAAAAAACAAAGTCAACAATGAATTCAAATTTAGAACATAATTATGTTACAGTTGAAAAATATGTGTTTCGTGCATATTACGTAATAAAGATTATACACAATTTTTTTATCTTAAAATCTACTTTGATAATTCCGGGAGGGTAGATGTGTTTTAAGGATGACTTTAAATAACATAATACCTTCATATTCAATACTTTCCATCTTCAACGTCCGGAACAACCTTACACGTGGTGAGTAAAATAAAATTAATAACTATAATATTACCCGTAATATTTTGTTAATTCGCTTACCTACATTTTTGTGTTAGAAACTAAAATGTACGTTATTTGTTTACAAAGATCTACAGAAATATGGAGGATGAGACTATCATAACGAACACTGATACATTGTATCCAGTACTGCTTATACCTAAGAAGTGCACTACATTGGAGACGAATTGTGAGGCAGCGGATAATGTGTTCATAGATTTAAACATAACCTCCCCGGACACTGAAGGTAATGAGACTTGTATTTATTCGGGGTTCTGCAACGTTAAACTGATAGATAGTTATGATGTAAACATCAACGAGGGAGATTCCAGTCAATCATCAGACTCCAAGGACGAGCAGATCCCTGTGATAGTGAGTGAGGCTGCTCAAGATCCTACCTTCAACCAATCCCAAGTATGGATAGACCCGGCCAGAAGCCCGTATGTTTACAACAACTACGACGCGGTGGAGTCCCAAGAACATTACTCAGTGTACAGTCAAACCCTATCAAGCCACATAACAGTAGAACAACACAATACGTACATAACTCAGAATGTGTACAACTACAAAGAACAAGTACCATACTCGCCGGTCGAGGAATTCGGACATAAGAAATTCAGAAAAAATCATGGGAATGAAATAAATCATGACTTATATGAGGATGATGAGTTTGAATGCGGCGTTCTACTGTCTCAATTGCCAGAGGAAATCTTGAATGAGAAAGAGAATAAAGCGAGAGAGGAATTGATGTACATTAATCTTCAAAGTGAGAATGATGCTCTGAAGCAATTGATGTCTTCCGATATACAATCTTTGTCCAAGCAACAGAAGACTATTATGTACCTGGGTCACGACTCTCATTATGGACAGACAGTTCAAAAAATTGCAGTCAACGATCCCTCTTTGGAGTGCAATGGAGTTGGTAATGAAGTCATTATAGGTAAATATCATTGGTATAAATATTATCAGTCAACCGATTTGTTTATTTTACTTGATAAGAATTCAGTACTAAACATTAAATGTTTTGAATTATTGTTTTTATTATGTACTGCTGTAAGTAATTATATTATGTATTAAAAATTAATTTAATTGATTTCAGAAAGCACTCAGCCTAATCATAAGAAGTATCAATGTGATAAATGCAAGCAATATTTTGATCAAATAACAACTTTCAAACAACACATGGTCGGTAACCATAAGATTACAAAGGAGTTATTCCGACCGAATCCCATTAGAGAAATGAAATTCATGTGTACCGAATGTGGAAAACATTTAAAGAATCAGAAGAAATTTGAACTGCACTGTCTTGGCCACGGTAACCCTGATTTAGAGTGTAACAAATGCCACAAAGTGTTCGCATCAAAGTTCACACTAAGAAATCATTTAAAAATACACCAAAGAAAATTCCCTTGTATGTATTGTACTAAGACTTACTCAAGTTCCAAGGAACTGAGGTCGCATAAGGCTAAGATACATTTCATTTTCATGTGCGATATTTGTGATTACACAGCAACAAAGTATCCGGATCTAGAGGAACACAAACAAACACACACAAATGAAGTAGATTTGAGTGATTCAGATTTCACTCTGTCACTCAACGGTGATATGATAAGCGATAGTGGCAGTCTTTCACCCTCCACCGAAGATTATGTCATAAGATCCGAGGACTTCGAACAGAAATTGGATGAAATTAAAAAAGCCGATTCCGTGATCGCTAAGGTGATGTCGAATAAAATGTTTCTGCTCCACACTAAAAGGGCGCGAAGAGATAAAAAATGTAAAAAAGTGAGTATTAAAAAAAATAAGATTCACTTTATAATAATTCTTTTTAATTCAATCTAGTTTTACGAGCTTAACCCATGGATAGACATTAATATTAGTCATTAATTTCTTGTATATATTATTTACAACGCTTAAAATAAATAAAAAAATCAATTAGAATTAATACGTCGTGCTGTCACTTATCTCATATGTTATAATTAATATTAATATTTACATATATATGATTTCAGACTTGCAACGTGTGTTTGAAGACCTTCGATCGTATCGGCGACCTCAAAAGGCATCTCATAGAGCACGTAATTAGAAGCACCCTGGCAAAAACTCCAGTCAACAAAAACGGTACGCTTACAATACAATGTGAAGTCTGTCAGGTCGAGAATTTCACTAAAATCGACAAATACAAAGCTCATTTACGCGAACACGCGAAACTCACCTTATATAAATGCACATTCTGTGACAAATCCTTCAGCGATTCGAGCAACTTTTCTAAGCACAAGAAAATTCACGGCACAACATTCTTCCAATGCGATCTCTGTCAAAGGAAATTCAACTCCAAAAAGATGATAGCACAACACATGGAATATCACAATAACAATTCTCCAATCCCTTGCCCCTACTGTGATAAAGAGTTTCATTTTCCTTCGATGTTGAATAAACATGTCAAATGTGTTCACAATAGAGAGATGTCCAGATTTAGGTGTAGATTCTGTCATGAATATTTTAAAACGCTTAAAGATAAATGGGATCACGAATGGAGAGTACATAACGTTAGGAAGATTATCGTGGACTGTTTGATTTGCGGTTCGAAGTTTCGAAAGTATTCAGAGTTAAAAAGACATTGTACGGACATTCACGGTTTGGATATACCTCCCGCCAAAAAGTTGCTGCGTAAACGGAGATTATTGTAGAATAGCTGGTCTATTTTAAAAAAGCGCCATCTAGTATTTTCAATGGATTTTCTGTTGATATCGTTTCATCTAGACGTGACGACATCGACACGAATTTTTTTAAGTTATTTTTTTGTAAATATTGAAGACTGATTTTTTTATAGATATATAGTTTTGTTTATAATTATAAAAAGTTATGAATTAGGTTTAAATTATCGAACAGATATTTATTATTTTTAAGTTATTAACTTTAAAAGTTACATATGAAGTTTAGAAAGACTGTTTTTTTGTTTATTATTTTACATCTCATAATTTATTAATCATTGGAGTTAACATCAACTGTTAAACAGATATTTTTGATTTAGTTTTAAGTTAAAATTGTTATCAAAAACTTATGAGCAAATAGTACATAATGATTGGCACATTATTTTTACTATATTTATAAAGACTGTTAAATATTGTGATCTCTTTTAGACGAGTGTTTAATTTATTAATATATTAAGAAAAACGTTTACTTAAGTAGTTTAATTTTTGATTACATATATTTTGTTTTAAAATGATTTTATTTTTTTTCCTTTAACCTTAACCCGTAATATTTTTTTACTAACCATTACTTTTTTACTTAAAACTCGCATAGCGAGTCTTTTTTAAATATTTCTTTAAAAATTTAAATTTCTAATGAACTCAATTGTGGATAATACTAACATTATACAGCCAAAAGAAACATAAATCGCGATATATAAAGCGGTTTTTGAACGACCTTGTGTTTCGCGCATGCGCACCTCGGGTCACCTGCTATGGCTGCTATAGACATCGGATAAACGTCTCATTCTCAGTCCGTGTAAACGCTTCGCGCGTTAACGACGTCGTGATTATTTTGTTACAGAAAAAAAAAACACGTACGCGTGTTTTAGACCATTGTTATCATCTCCCAACTGGTGTGATAGTGTTTTGTGGAGTCTAAGGTTAGTATATGATAGTATTATCGGTCACACATCGACTATAAGTGATAATATGACGCCTTACAGATCGAATGTTGATTTACGCTATTCGATTTAATGGCCCTATCAAGTATGACACTCCTTGTATTTAAATGATATGTATAAAGTACATAATAAAAACAAAGTATTTGTACTACTGGTATAAATGAATGATCGTTTTTAATTTAAATGTCGAAACTACACACATTAATTCCATTCCTCAAACTTCATCGCTTCGATTATTTTTCTTTTTAGTTTTATTTATTTATATAATACGCACATGTTTTTGTTAAACATCTTTTGCAATAAGTTACATGGTTATTTGCTTTTATAAAAATTCGCGTGTGAAATATCATTATAGCTTCCAAAACTTGATTTATTATTATAAAATTCTCTTTTTTAAAGACTTTTGAATTAAAATATTACAAAATAGTAAATGCTTCATAAGTAAACGCATTCGTCTGTTAATAAATTAGCATTTATCACCGAGAAATGTTATAAAAAATATATTACAAGTATATTTTGTATATACATGAAAACTTTATAATATTAAATATTCCTACAACTATTTTTGTTCCAGTATGAAATTTTATAAACAATTACTTAAAACTTATAATGCGAGGACCTTTCTTACTTATACGAAAAAAATATTAGTCTTGAAGTTTATCAATCATGAATCGTGGGAACTACTATTCTTTTTATTTGAAGAAAATTACTTAAATATCTTCAGTAAGTCTTGTATATTTTTTTAATGTAAAAAGAATGCGTCTACCTTCTAAACTAAAAGTTCTATACGCTTAGCACAAGAAACGAAACCTCTCATCATTCCATGTATTCACGGTGCGTGTGTCGGGTCCATCGTTGTAGTGAGAGGAGCTTCAACAGTGACTGGGACTTGTGACCCAGGTGTAGGTTTAAGAGATATATGATAAATTTTCGTTTGTGATGCCTCATTTGAAATATTACTAAGCGTATCATTATTAAATTTATCGGTATATGTTATTATTAATAAACAATAAGAACTAATAATCTATTTATTGGCAACATTTAAGTTTCAACCTTTATTTGAAAACTATAAATACTGGCTCCAGCCATCTTGTATAACATTACAAGAAGTAACGTTAAACATTGAAAAACAAATAGTACCTCGAACATTTATTTTTAATAATTAAAAACTAGCCCTCGTGTATGATTTCATGTGCAAAGCTAGTATTAAATAATGTACCCTAATAATAATTAACTGGTTATAACTGACAGCAAATTAAACTGTTAAACTTATTAAACACTTAAATATTAAAAAATATATACCTAGATGACCCCAATTGAAATAGAAACAATATATTATGCAGCGCAAGTCTGAAACATTTTTAATTAATTAGCGAAAAACTGACATATGTCTGTAATTACTTTGACAAATCAATTTCGAGGCAAGCGTACGCAAAACTAACAATTCAGTTATTATAAAATTATTTATTTGCGGTTGGCCATACAACCGCGTAATATACATAAGTTCACTAACTTTCCGCCCGCAGCTTCGCCTGCGTGGAGTTCAGTTATATCGCGTTTCCAAGAGAACCTTTCAAAAGTCTGGGATAAAAACTATCCTGTTCTTTTTCAAGGTCAACTCTATCTCTGTACCAAATTTCATTAAAATCAGTTCAGTGGTTTAGGCGTGAAAGCGTAACAGACATACAGAGTTAATTTTGCATTTATAATATTAGTAAGGATATGAAGATGTCGTTTTCTCAACAACGACATTAAAAATGTCAGTTAATGTTATTTAATTAAACTGTTTATTAAAAGAATTATCGCAATTAAAAAATAATCAGTTTTCCTCTAACCTTCCACTTGCATATTTTTTTTTTAACTATGTTTATTCAGCTATTAGTATAAATAATTTAACATTGAATTAAAAAACTGCAATTAGTAATTACGTTATTACGAAAGGAGAATAATTTTAAACACTTATTGAATTATATTCCTCTGATTTCCTATTATATACTATGCATTGTCATAATTTATAATTTTATGGTACAATTAATCTTTCTTAAAAACTCAATTGCTACCAATATAAGTTTATTTGGGTATATTTCTGAAATATATATAAACTGTTCTCTTGAGTACAAAGGCAAGCTTTTTTGCTCTCTCACCCCCCACCCTCCTTTCTATATATGTATACATATTAAATTATCTGTAAATCTATCAATATGTCATACTGTTATCTCAAAATCAAAATTCATATTGACTTATGTTATTCATCCAATTATTACACTAATTGAACAAAGTCAATTATAAACTTATTATTATAAATGTTTCGACATATCAATAGTTAACTCTTTTTAAATATAATACATAAAACATATATATTATACTAGCTTTCCGCCCGCAGCTTCGTCCGCGTGGGGTTTGGTTATATAGCGTTTCCAAGAGAACCTTTCAAAAGTCTGGAATAAACACTATCCTATGTTTCTTTTTCAAGGTCAACTCTATCTCTGTACCAAATTTCATTAAAATTAGTTCAGTGGTTTAGGCGTGAAAGCGTAATAAACAGACAGACAGACAGAGTTACTTTCGCATTAGTAATATTAGTGGGGATAGAATGATTCCGATTATATAGGTTTTTGATTATGTACTAGTTACAATACAAAGTAAACGATGACTCAGTACCAATCTTCCAAAATATGTAGATCTTACTGTATTTATTACGCGTTTATAATTATTTTTAACAACACACTCCGGACTCCCTAAATTTCGGTTGGGTATTTTGCAGCAACCGTGATCACGGGCAGACGAGATGTGAGATTAACTTGTACATAGTAATCCAAAAATATTAGTTTTATTTAAGTAAATGAATTCTCGCGGAAGTCTTAAATATCAATCCATAGTCTCCTTTTTAAATCTTCCAGTTACTACCAAACCCATAGTTTCCTTAATCAAATTGTTATCAAAGGGTATAGCGTCAGCTGCTCATGAGTTATATCATAAATAAATAAGTTTTTATTCCCGCAATACAACCGTTTCATAACTCTTTCATTCTCTACAATCTATTCATAGTATATAATAATATATACTCCACGTAATATGTTATGTATAATTAAAATAAATCCCCGTTATATAAATACATCATGTCTATTGAATAATAATTATTTCTTTCATTAAACACGATGCGTTGAACCGAACGCATACCCGCTGACCCAGGGGAACCAATGTAGCGATAAATTTTACTGGCGTTGAACACTTCGTACTATAATTAACATATAAGTATATATTTATATACATATATATATGTACAAACCGTTATTTACTTATTTACTTTTAAAGTTTCTTTATATATTTATATACATATATATATGTACAAACCGTTATTTACTTTTATAGTTTCTTTTAATTTTAGTTATATTTATTATGAGACATTTTTGTAATGTTTCAAATTAGTATCAAAATTGTTCAAGATAAAAACAGACCATTTAATTCAATTATAACAATTAAAATATTAAATATAATCACAAAATACATACATAGTTGTATATTAATTTCAATAATTTAATATTTTTTTTAGTATAGAATATTTTATTTTGATAATAAAATTAAAGCATATATGATATATAGAATGTTCGCGTATATTCATATAAAAGAAACTAAGTTTTACACCTCGTCTGTTCGTAATTACAGTTGCTGTAAAAGAACTGAGAAACAGTCTTATTGAATTTATGTTTACAAAAATTCGATATACATAATAATTCTTAATGAGCCTTAATAAATTTTGGGCATACAAAACACTGCTTAAAAAATTTTGGTTGTAAATTTTGTTGCAATATAACAAATTAAAAATTCCTTTGTATTAAAAAAAACATTTATCCTGGAACTTCATAGAAATATAAAAAGATATTTCTCCTTTTCCTTTTTTAATATTTTTTTTAGTTCGACATAATTTAGACTACAAAAATTGCAACACAATAGTAATTCAAAAACAAAGAAACTAAATTCATAAGTACTATTTAATTATGAAATTGAAATGATTGTTTTCCATCACATCAATAA